GGAGACCTAAGCAGTACAGGGGGTTTGTGCACCACCTACAGGAAAAAAGAAAAATCTCTTATCAATCTGCTAAAAGACGATCACTCCAATTACAATAAGTGTTTTTAAGAAGGCAGAGAACATTCCTATAAATGCCTAGGTGAAAAAATAATTCATCGGATAACATAAGCAATGAAAGTGACAAGGCAGCTCAGAAAGAACACAAAACTACTCCAGAAAATAAATATATAAAATATGAGATTTCAATGACAGATAATTCAAGGTTGCAGTTCTGAAAAACCTGAGATTAAAAAATTTCAAATCAATGGATTAATAAACTCAGAAACAAAATTAATGAACAACAGAAAAAATTTGCCAAGGACTGAAACTAAAAAAAAAACCAAAGAGAACTTCTGGAACTGAAGAACTCAAAAAGAAATGAAGAATGAAATAACGAACTTAGCTGACAAGATGGAGTATGGAATTAGTGACAATGAAGACAGAAATCTGAAAATGACACACATCGAAGAAGAGAAGAGACATGAGAGTGAAACAAAAGTGAAAGAACTCTATACAAGAACTATCTTAACTTATCGGAAAAGGCAACACAAGAATAACGGGTATACCAAAAGGAGAAGACAGGGAAAAGGGAACAAAGAAAATATTCAAACAAACAGTCAACAAGATTTTTCAAACTATACAAAGAACTGGATTCTTGAATCAAAGAAACAAAGAGACACATAATTATCTTAATCCAAAAAGGCGTTCTCCAAGACCCAAATATTAAAACTATCAAAAGTTAATGACAAGGTAGGAATTCTCAAGACAGGCAGGGAATAGAATTTGGTAATCTATAAAGAAAAATCCATTAGATTACCATCAGACTTTTTAGCAGAAACTTTACAAGTTAGGACACAGTAGAACTAAATATTCAAACTATTACCAACCAAGAACATACCCAGCAAAGTTATCTTTTAGATGTGAATGAGAAATAAAGACCATTTCAGACACAGAGAACCTGAAAGCATTTTCCATCACAAGGCCTGCATTACAGGAAATACTGAAGGGGGTCATTCTACTTGAAACAAAAAGACAAAAACAAAACAAAACAAAACAAAGAAACTATGAGTAAGATTACGAACAGACAGAAACATGAACATTGCAAACTTTATTCAGGATAGGGTGTTATACACTTACATATTACACAATGGGTAAAGGAAGTAAAAACATTTTTATAAAAATAAGACAATAGCTACTGTAACCCAGAAATGAACTGAGAGCATAAATAGTGAAAATCTGAGACAACGAAAAGAAAA